TTGCTTTGTGTTTCACCACAGACACTCCTGAAGTAATCTTATTCCCGCTGCATTCAATTTACTTTTATCTTTTTTCCTGACATAGCCAGTTCAAGCTTCCATGTAACAAAATAGCTAGAAACTATTGTTCCTTCCCTTGTATAATTTAGCATGTGGGTGGAATTTTGTCACTGTTACTGTTAAAAAACTGGGACTTGAAATCTGGGACTTGCCTGTCTTTTGCAAACAATCCAGAGATCTACCAATAAATATAAATCTTTACTCTTTATTTAGAGCCACTAGTAGAAGTATTTCAAACTCTTTCATACTAAATCACACTGGGTCATGTTCTTATCAACCAATCATGGATTATAATTGGGTCTGAAACAGCCCCTGAAGACTTCTGTTGAAAATGATGGTTTTTTTACAAGTTGGTTGTTAACATATAGTGCTCAAGATTATGGAATATATTCCTCAGATTTTTCTCTTAAAGAATCTGATGTGCAGTATATAAGCATCGAGGTTACTTTTATTATTGTATTTGCCATTAAAGTATATTTCTTTTATAATTAAAAATCTTGATGCTTTTTAAACTTCCAGGAGGGCTGTATAACTCATGAATTTCTTCGCAGCGTTAATTTGTAGTTGAGAACCACAGGATTTATTTCCATAAAAATAGGTATAAATTAGGCAGTTGTAGTAATAACCATTTATTTACAGTATTTTTTATGGAATATTAAGAAGCCTGATTTTTTTCTGGGGACCTGTTGATCTATTGATGTATAAGCTCAGCCTTATGTTCCTTTCTTAATGCAAGGGCTGGAAAGGAAAGAATACAGTAAAGGAAAGAATAAACTGAAATGTCAGTGAGAAGGTACAAGCTATATTTTTCTTACCCATTGAAGAAATGAGGAGATACCTCTCCCCATATTGTTGAGAACAAGATAAATTTATTCCAGAATCCAAAGAGACCTCTTTTGCAGTTACACAGTGTATGTTAATTTAGAAACAGGTGCTGATGCATTCAATGGTACTTGTAAGAAGACCAGTGTAGAAACTAGTAAAATACACTTATATGGATCTTCATATTAGATTGATATTTAATTCAAATAGGGTTATGACCCTCTAGGCATTTTAAATTGTTTATTTTTGGAATGGAGTGATTTAGTGGTTTAGAAGTGCTGACACTTCTGTGAATGTTGCTTCTCTTTCTGCATAGTATCGTGAGATCAGCTGTTCAAACATTCTTATTTACTATGAGAAGATGAACTGACTGGTATGTTTTTACCAAAATCTCTGATATATTGCTGGTCAGAAGCAAAGGACCTGCTTTCTTTTCATACTCAGTTGCATCATCTACAACAAATATGGTACCGTTGGTACTGAATCACATTAATGTGTTCAATGTAGGGTTTTTTCCCCAGAATGTTTTCACTTTTCAAGGTTGCCTACCCCTGCTCTATACTTTGAACACATGGATTGGAGAGGACATTTAGCTGCTCTCAGAGTTGTTTAGCTCAAAAGTTCTTCTGCTACATTTCTCATTAGATGATAAACAGTCAGCAGAATAGCCTGATCCCATAGGATAAAATGTGCACCTTATCTGCCAGAAGGTTCAACAATGAGAACTACTTTCATGTGCCTGAAATAATCACAGTGAAGTTATTTTATTGTTTGTCATGGCACACAAGAAATTGTTTGTGACTTTCCCCCCCCCCCATTTTGCTATCTCATCAGTTTATTCTACTATCATTGTGTTATTGGCATTTTTTGATTATTGCAGTAGTGGCTATCTTTGTTCTGTTTAATTTGAAGTTCTTTACATCTATTTATCTTTGTGCCTTCTCCTTCTGTCCTGTAAGAAAACTTGTAATATCATAAATAGTTGAGTGGTGATCAACATGATTTGTAATGTATCTTGCAGCTTTTTCTTACTAAACCGCATCTGAATTATCTACCCAGCTGAATTAAATGAAAATCTTCCAAGGCTCCTGAACAACTAGAAAACCCACATTTCCCTTAGCAAAAACCAGCAGGACACTGCAGTCAGTCTCAATACAGGATTATACAATCACATTTGCTTCATGCATATGCTGTATTTTAGATGTACTCTTAAAATACCTTCTTGGACTGGGCTTGGGTTTCATGTTCAAAGTGGAAAAAAAGTCTTCTTTCAGGAGCACACAGCTTCCAAACTCAAATGCTGCACAACCATAAAACTTAGAGGAGAAAGTCATTTAGGGTCAGCTGATAGTCCTCTAAAAGATTTGTACGAAATGAGTGAAGTTGTCTGACTCCCAAATGTTTGACAATACCAACAATAAAGTGACATTATGTCTTGTCCTAAATTATAGTACTGAAACCAGGAAAGCTTCATATAAACCAAAGTGGATATTTGTGCAGAAGAACTGGACTCTATTCACTTCTCAAATTCAGATCTAATCTCCAGTTCTTGGACTCATTCTAGTCATTTCGTTCTAACTGAATGTCTTCTGCATTAGTCTCTAGATGATGCATTTCAGCCTTCTTATGAAAACAAAGATGGGCAATTCTGAAGTCTGCCCTTCCCTGAAGGATACTTGTTAAAACCAATGAAGTTTAACTTAGTCATGTTGGGCCCAATTAATTCCAGTGGAGCTACTCCAAATATGATTACCAATTTAGTGTTGTTATTCATCCACGCTTACATTAGAATTTTAATTAAATGTGAACTGTGTGGCTGCTTTCTACAAAATCAGCAACTCTCCTTTTAATCAAGGTCTCTGGTATGGTTCGGAGATCTAAACAGAGATAATGAAGTGTGTGTGTGTGGGCATAAACTCACGTGTATACACAGATTTTGAGGTTAGTTTCTATTTTTATTCTTTTTTTCCTCTTTTTAAAATTTAAAGCACGTGGACCATTTTGTTGATTGATGGATTAGTGCTTTTAAGAAAGAAATACCATACACATGTCATAATCTGATATATATTTTGTCCTCTGAGGGGTGGAGGTTGGGGGGGGGGAGAAAACCCATCTCATATATGAACTGGCTAAAGAATAGAAGCATCTGTTTCATAATATATAGTGATCATCACCAGGAGATATACAGCTGCTTTATATTATATAAATTGTTGTGTAGTCGAGCGGGATCTCTCCAGATAATTATCCAGGAATGTTTCAAATGACGGCATATGTAACAAAGCATTGCATGAACTGGACTGAATCTTTGTAATTTTCCAGTTATGCTTAAAGAAGAAGTCTAAATCAGTCACCTATATGCAGGCTACTAAATACCACATTCCCATGGGCCGTGGGAAGAATGCAATCATGAAATTCTATTGAAAAAGGAAAGACTGCGAAAAAGATTTCGATGTAGACAGCCACCATAGAAATCAGGAATTTGAAGAACAAGAAGGCTCGTACGCTATACACATAAAACCTTTGACCTATAAAACCTGAAAAAGCTGGGTGGGGGATCTTATTATTGCAAGAAATGCCGATTCTAATAGGAGATTGCTTTTTTCTTAAATTCTTCTTAGAGTATGAGTCAAAGTATTTCTGTGATGAGGGACCAAGCTTTCTTAGTTGTGGCTTCTTGGTTATGGAACATATTTTCCATTCCATTTGCTTGGTATCCTTTCTGATATTGTTTAGTTTAGACATGGCTACCTATGCATATTTTAAACAAAACTGAAGATATTTTAACTATGGAACCTGCTCTCCCCATGTTGAATAAGGAGACACTCAAATGACTGTGAATCCATTTTCTTCCAATCTTGACATAGTATGCTAGACATTTGTTTGCATTTGAATGAATGCACGTAGAAGCATCATTCAATTCTGGATTAATGTAGCAAGCTTGGGAGCAGCATAAGGAAGATTGATCTGTGCTTAGAACAGCCACTGGAAAAAAATCCAATTAATATTCTATAGTATATTAGTGGTGTATATTCACCGTTAGCCACATATTAAGGGGGGATCCTCTGTGAAAGCTTGTTAGTCTTGTAATACTGTATGGTATCTTGAAAATCGTGTAAAACTAAAATGGAGAATCTGTGGCCCTTCAGAAGTTGGTGAATTACAGCTACCAACATTCTTCACCACTGAAGTTTTGGTTGTTTGGTTAAAACCACTGGGTATTCTAGGTCAGCTATAACTGGAAAACTGAAGACTGCTACCCATCCACCCAACCGATAGAGTAGAGAATTATCGTTAACTGATAATTCACACAAATGAGTAGAGAATTATCGTTAACTGAAGTCAGTCAGTATTTGGTTTCCCTAGGGAAGGGAGCACAAGTTTGTTCATGCAAATTTAAATTAAAATTGACTTACAATTTAATTTAAACCATTTGATGTTATTCTCATTGTATTTAATATTTCTCCTTTATATTACATAAAATATAATAATTGGGCAAGCCAGATCCAACCTTTGTGTCTTCTGTCTGACCTTCAGCCTGCAAGTTGTACATTCTTGCCCGGTAAAATGATACTGTTAATGGAAAGAGACCTTTCACTGGGTCAATTTGTGGGGCTGATTGGGATTTTCAAAAATTGTTAGTAGAAGAATTTTTATTGCTGACAAGTTTGTTCAAAAGGTGAAGCTTATTGAATACAAACTGAAGGAACTGAAGTACTGATATTCCCCAAAGGCTATTTCTGCACAAAATTGAATTTTAAGGGGGGGGTATTTTTCCACATCTTACAATCCACCTTTATCTATTATGATTAATGGGTTGATGTCTTAATGTATTGTATTTTTAATTCTTTTTAAGCCAAGCTTAAAATGTTTTCCATTTTGTTTAAGCATCTGATAGCATTTGGCCTATCTAATCTGTGTCATCCATAAATCTTCATAAAATAACCATTACCTTTTAAATTACTTATGTCATACCATTATCTCCACTGATGAAATTTTAAATGTAAGATGGTGACGGATGATCTGCTAAAAGTGGCCTCTAAAGTAATAGTGCCAGATTCTTGTGGTTTATGATAGCAGAACTGTTGTTAATATTTAATTCCTGCTGTTCTCTATTATAGCCCATCTCTGCCTGCCTTGGATTGGCAGTTGCCATCTCACTCAGGACCTTATGAACTTCAGATTGAAGTGCAGCCGAAGTCCCATCACCGAGCCCATTATGAGACGGAAGGCAGTCGAGGAGCTGTCAAGGCGTCTGCTGGGGGACATCCAGTGGTGCAGGTAATAGCATTATTCTTGGCAGCATGTGTATTTTTTTTAAAACCAACATCCTTAATAAGGCAAGTAAAATGACCTTATATTGAATGTAAGTATGTACTCTGTTTTGGTGGATGGAAAAAGTCTTATTTGTTCGACCAAGAGCTGCTCAGTGGGTATTTCGTACTTTATGATAGGTACGCCGGTTGCTCCTGGAAATTCTTCAGAATAGGTATTATATGAAAGGTCTAACTATATGCCCAACCTCGGTGGTGCCAGTTCAATGCAGAATCTGGTGTTTCCTTATTGTTGTCTGTTGAATTAGTCTGCTACCTAAAGTGAATGGAAAGTATTGTTATAGAGGAGGTACAGTTTTCATCTGAGGCTTGGGGTTCCAAGAAACTAGTCAAGGGACTCATCACCCCTTATAATTCAGTGTAAGTAAACTAGTCTATAATGTTTCTTTATTGACATAACTAATAACCCAAGATGAACTATGAAGTAACGCATCAGGCTAGAAACCAGTTCTAGTCCTACCTTAGACATGAAAGACCAGCTAGGTGACTTTGGGCCATCCTTACAGGGTTGTTGTTGTGGGGAAAAGGAAGGGGGACAAAAGAGTATTAGGTATATTCACCGCCTAATTAAAAAAACAATAATAAAGGCAGGATAAATGTAAACATACATACATACATAAATAAATAGGGAGAGGCAAAGTTCTTTATATTAGATTCCCTCATATTCCTAATTGTAGATTCATTTCTGCCTGTTTCTGTATTGTTTGTAAATTCTCTCTCTCTCTCTCTCTCTCTCTCTCTCTCTCTCTCTCTCTCTCTCTCTCTCTCTCTCTCTCTCTCTCTCTCTCACACACACACACACACACACACACACACACAGGGGCATTCTTCCTGCTTCTACATTGTACACATTTGAATACATTCTTTTGCATATGCGCTATTTGCAAGTGATATCCTTCTGATACATTTTGTACTTTCTCAAATATGTGCCTTTTTATTACAATATTTTCAATATACAGATTTCTGTATCCATGCTTTGAATTGCAAAGCATCATATTCCACATAAACTTTTCAAAAGTACTAATTTCTCTGTATAAATGCATTTTGACTTCCTTGAAGGGCATAAAATAGGAATTGGGACAGGTCATAAAAAACAGAATTGAACCAAAAAATGTCTCCTCCATCCCAATTTCTATGGTGATATCCTCCTGATAGAATTTCCTCCTCATAAATATCCATTGGACATTCAATTTCATTATATTTTTTAGTATAAAATACTAAATAAATATATAAATAAAAATGTAAATGTTCGTTTGTTCAAAATCTTAAAATCTCCGAAAGTTCTTCACCGATTGCTTTGAAATTTTGACACAACGTTGCATTCAAATACGCGCATGTTTTTATATACCTACTATTATATAGATGTCACACTTGTGACAGGTAAAAACATGCTCTTTAAACCATAAAAACATGCTTTAATGAGCAACGTCGTAGAAGCAACAATCTTGACAGGACCTTTCAAAGGTGAAGATGTCCTCATTCCTCGCATTCCTATGATTCCAACGGATATGCCATTTCAATTTAAGAGATTGCAATTCCAAATTCGATTGGCGTTTGCAATCACCATCAACAAAGCTCAGGGCCTCCTTTGGTTTTAAATTGAAAGTTGCATTTTTGAACATTGTTATTGTTCATGTTGCAAGCTTCATCATCTGAAAGCAGTTGAAAATTCTAAATTCAAGGGAGACACCCAGCAAAACTTGTGCCAGTTTGATTTTACTAATATAATAGCATGAATTACCCTTAGCATGGTTCACTATTAACAACTGCTTCTCTTCCTGTCTCACAGTATTGCTCTTTATTTTACACGTGATATTTAAAGTGAAATTTATACAGTGCACTTGTTCCTTAGGATATATTTTGCTAGCTGCCTAAAATGTGTGAGGAGAGATAGATTGTAGATGGGAGGCGTGAATTCACAATAGCCAATTTGACATTTAAAATTTCCACTCAGTGATTGGAAAAAAACAAAATGCAGTGCCAACATTTAATTGAGTTAAATGTATCCAGGAACCACCACCACCACCACCCCCTCCCCGCAGTCTTTTTCTATGGTGTATGGAAATAAAACAAAACATGATGCATGTTGTATTTAGATAGAATTGTGGAAAAGAAAAAAGGGAAATGCCGGAAGGAAAAAAGGAAAGCAAAATTCCGATCAGTGGAATGATACCAAACTTCCTCCTGTTTTTCATTCCAAGCGACAGATGATGTGCTTGTTTTGTGTGAAATATAACAGGATTTTGAAGGGTTACCTTCCCACCCACCCCTCGTACTTTTCGCCTATTTGGGCAGGCTTGTCCTCTACTAGTGAATACAGGTAGTCCTTGACTTCTGAACACAATTGAGCCTAAACTTTATGTTGCTAAGTGAGAGATTTGTTAAGTGAGTTTTGCCCCATTTTATGATCTTTCTTGCCTCAGTTGTTAAGTGGATCACTGCAGTTGATAAATTAGTAACCCGGTTGATAAGTGAATCTGGCTTCCCCATGGACTTTGCTTGTCAGAAGGTCACAGAAAGGTGACCACATGATCTTGGGACATTGCATTTGTCAAAACTACATGTCAATTGCCAAGCATCTGAATTTTGATCACATGATCATGGGGATGCTGCATAGGTCATAACTGAAAACCGGCCATAAGTCACGTTTTTCAGTTCTGTTGTAACTTTGAACTGTCACTAAATGAACTGTTGCAAGTCGAGGACTACCTGTAGTATCTGATCATTCACACCCTCTAGAGATGTACCAGGCCAAGGGTAACCCAGTTGGCCCAGCTTACACGTAAAATTAAGCCCCTCAAGAAATACGAACATGCAGACCTTGTAATGCATGCCATCATGGGCATTTTCTGGGGGGGGGGGGAAAGGAAATCTGTAAACTGTCATTAAAGAACCAAATAACCCAGAAGAGGTGGTGCCAAGACAGGGGCTGGGCAAAGAGCTTAGCAGAACACAACAAATACAATGCTTTTCCTTCCGAAATATTATTAAAATAGAGTTAGAAAGAAACAGTTGGACAAAGAAATTCTAGTCACAGTAGTGGTGATAATATTTAAGCTCCCCAAAACTGGGCTACAAGAAGAAAACGATCTAACCATGAAAATAGATCAGGGCTGTATCATCATGGGTGAGTCTATGACCATTTCCTACATTCATTTTATGAGTGAGTATAAAAGAAATCATCAGAAATGTACCTTAACACAGGATTGGGGAGGCATTAAATGTTACCTCTGCTGTTAATACCCTCTCTTGTCTTGTTTCATATTACATCAGTCCCTATTTGTTTCCCATAATTAATTTTTGTGTTGGTTCAATAGTTTTGAAGGTAGACATTATTCTCCTTCATCACTCTTATTCAGTGTACAGTAGTAAAATTCTGAACATGTTCTGGCTGAGCATACATGCCTAAATATCACCCTTCTAGGTGAATTAGTAGGGAAGTTTAATATTCTTGCTGCCATATCAGATGGTTGTGGTATCGTTATATCTACTTAAGTGGCGCACTAATTCTCACTTTGTACTTAGTTCAACTACTTCTCCTTTCTGAGAATCATTGTCCCCCAGCAGTGATCTGATGGTTATCACCTGTTTACATGGGGGCACCTTTCGTACGTTGTTCTTCAGAGTGAAAGTACAAGAAGTCACCTACACATTTTTTTTTTGTAGTTTCATACTCCTACATGTTTGCTCTTCGCTTGTTTGAGTGTTTGGCTACCATAGCAGCCTCCAGTTATCACACGGATTTCTAAATGCTTGAAGAGTGAGATGAGCTGACACACCTAGAAAGTGCTAAAAATGTTTGAGAAGAGTGGCTAATCAAAGGTGGTGGTTAATTGGTCTGGTGAGGTAATGCTTGGCAGAGTACTTCATACCTTGTCCTAAAAGCAGTGTTACTAAACATAATCCTCTTCAGATATTCAGTTCTTTCCTCCGTGTTATTTCAAAGGAGGAAAAAGATTCTTCTGTTCTGGGAATTTAAGATTTGGGGTTTCAAATCCTGCCCTCCCACTAACATCCTGTACAGCCTGAGGCGACTCATTTCATTTCTCTGTTGATATGAATGTAGAAAATATTTTCATGTTCATGTACCATGAGGTTTGTCAGCACAAGAGCACCGAGGCTTTGTACACAGGAAACAGAAGAGGAAGGAAAGGTAATCAAGGGTTAGAGCCAAAGAAAATCTCTCATTTCTTCAGTGCCTAAAGAAAATTGTTTCTCAGTTTGTAGGCTCTTATTCCTAATATGGCATATTGACTGGCATGTCCACAACACTCTGTACAGAAAGGAAGGGAGAGCAACATGGCAATAGCCGTAGGTCTTGACCAGGGGATCTCCAAAGTTGGCAACTTTAAGGTTTGTGGACTTAAACTCCCAGAATTTCTCAGCCAGCTATGCTGCCACAGTACATGTCACACTCACTGCAGAGATTAGCAGCAAGTGAATTGTGTGTACTTTTGTCAATGCCCAACCGGATAAGCTATTGACCTATAAGGAAGAAGTGGTCTTCCTCACCCAAATAATTACCTTTGAAATGGAGAGGTCAGCTTGCATTCAGATGTAGAGCAGAGAGAATTGAAAGTGGGGAGATAGACCAAGCTGCAAATAGGATAACCAAAAATCTGGAAGGAGGTCAGGGATAGGTTGCCAGGGGATGTGGAGGTCAAAATTGTCAAGATAATGATTTGATTTAAGATTGATGCCCCACTCCTTTTAGGAATGCTATGCATGTGACACATATAAAAAGGGGCTGGGCTTTGATCACATAAATGTGGCCACCATCTTAATTGTTTATGTCCTCCTCCACCAAATAGCCCTGTCTTTAATTATGATTATAGTATGTCTATTCCATTTCCTTATGTAACATTTGGGAAACATGAATAAAATCATCGTCATTGTCATCAACCATTCAGTTATGTCCGACCCTCTACCACTCTATGGATCAGTACT